TTAAGAGGGTCTTGGGTCATTAATGTTTAACTGTTAAGTAACTATCATATTTCATAATTTATTAAATTGTTTGCTGATATTTTTGTTCTTGAAAATATATTTATTGAAATTTATTTTTACTTGTATTATAATGACATTTTATTTTCTGAAAATAATAATTTCCATCTCTTTATTTGCTATCCATTTTCCTGCTCATCTTTTGCCACTTCTCATTACATGGCTTGTTTTCCAAATGGCTTGCTTAATTTTATTGGAATTAAAGGCAGAGTAAATGTACTCAGTTTATTTGTAATTGTTGGTTAGAATGAGCTTTAGAGTAAGCTTTCTAGGTAATGGTAGCTTGGTCCTTTCAGTGCCAGAACTATTTTTCATCTTAATTATGACAAAAAAGTTTCCTAAATAAATAATGTGCCTACTAGCCCTCCTTTTAGATTTATTTGTTAATTTTTTTCCCTTTATAAAAGTAATATTTCCAAAATGTGATTCTATTTTTTCCTTTTCCCAGTAAATCTGATCATTATTATGAACAGCGTTATGTTATTGTGTCTATTTTAAACCTACACCTTTTATGGGTTTCTCTCTCCTTTTCTGTTAGGAATTTCAGATTCCACATCTTTGTGGCTGCCTCTACCAGTATTTTGCACTTCATAAAATTCTGTTGGACTTAGAAACCCAACCAAAATGGCTGGAATTATGTTTAAAATAAAATAAGTAGTTTTTGATTCAGCACTTGAGGAACTGATTTTTGTTAACATTTTTTTGAATACTATGAAACTTCTCTATGAATGTATATTATGTATCTATTCTCTTGATTGCTCTTGAAAATATTTTTGTTTCCTGTTTTGAACTGGGATTCTAGGTAGTTGAGGTAACTGCCTAAATGAGACGGATATAGGGCTAAAATTGTCCACTTCTTGAATCTGAAGTCGAATCTTTACACGACCTCATTTCAGGATTAAAGTGGAAACAAGGAGACAAGAAGCACTGTGATGTCTGGGCTGGACAGGGTGAGGCGTCGCCGTTTGACCCTGTCCGGTCTGTCCCATTTCCTGATTCAGCACGTGCTCCTGTTTAGTTGTCCATTGTTCTGATAGGTGACAACATGCTGATTAAACAACTGTTTTTATAATTGGCCACATTAGGTAAGTTCGTAGGGTGTTACATCCAGGGTCATGGAGTGCATCATTCATTTTGTTGCAGAATTGGTCCCAGGCCTAGACACATTATCCCAAGTGTTGGTAGGATAGTGGCAAAGCTCTTTGAAAAAGTTACGTATAGAAAAACAAACGCTGTAAATGAAAGGACAGATTGGTGTAGAGCAGGCAGGGATGAAGTGCTGTGTTTGTCGCAGGAGACTCAGTCATTTAGGAGACTATGACTTTTTCCCCCAGCTTTGTTGAGGTCTAATTGATAAATAAAATGATTAGATACTTAAAGTGTATAACACGATGATCTGATACACTTAACGCATTGTGAAAGGATGCTGACCATTTAAACATAGCCTTCACCATCACCTCACAAATCTATTCATTTATTTTGGTGGGAACATTTAAGTTGGAGACGGTTGTATGTAAAGATGGAGAAATTATGACAGATAATACATGATTCATGTGGCCAGGCGGTGAGGAGACAAGGATCAAGAAGAGTTCATGACCCTGACATAGTGTCTAATTTGGATTCTATTTCTATAACGATTACTTTTGATATTCAATACTTAACTGTTGTTTTGGTTTTTAGTATTGAATGGGTGCCTTATGCAAATATAGAGGTGCTCAGTAAATGTTTGCTGAGTGACTTGAGTCCTTATATTTCGTATAGCTTCTGATGTTTTCAGAAATACCTTATTACTATAATTTGTAATAAGTCATGGGAGTTCTGCCCCTTTAGCTGCATCACCTCTTCTTGGATTAGATTTTTGTTTTGTTCCTCATGCATCATTGTCAGATGGGTAGAATATTTCTCATCGCCTGCATTTGCTTCTCTCTTCACCCTTCAGTGCCGGGTGCACCCGTGCTGTATTCTCCTTTCCAGTAGAGCACCCGTTACGTTGCCACACAGTACTTGGAAGGCTGATCCGTGTGTTGTCTGTGTTGCGCTAGGCTTCCTGTAATTGTTGCACTGTCTGGCCAGGAAAATAATTGCTTCCTGTCAAGGAGGATCTAGCTTGGCTCTTGATTGAGAATGTTAGAAGGGATGGCTTCAAAATTATTATGTATCCTTATATTGCATGTGGTCAGATTTTAAACATGGCTTTTTATTTTGGGGGCTAGATGGTAAGCTCAGAAAGGGCAGCGTCTGTGTGATAGCTAATATTTTAGCTCCAGGTCTTAGCAAAATAGGTGCTCGCTTAGGTTGTTTTGACTTACTCAGGTTCTCGGTATACTGATAATGATCGTTGAGTAGGAAAAAGAGGATGTATTTCTCTCATACTGTCCTATACCTTTTGCAGCTAGTTTTTTGGGGGTTAGGGGGAAGCATTACGGATTGCTGCTCTTCTTCGTCAACTCCTGCCCTAAACACTTCTTTGTTACTATTTCCCTCGCTCATATCCACTTTAGCAGTTACGGCAGTGGGCCAATGGTCTATGACAGGCTTATGAATAGATTTTAGAAATCTAGTAGTATGGGTACAGACGCACACATTTTAAATAATGTAATCATTTTAATAGGACCATCTGGTCTATTGTCTCATGATTCTTGAAGATTTATTTCCTAAGGTTTTCGTACAGTGTGTTAGATGAGGGAACTTTGTAGATGTTTGAACTTGCAAGTTTACTCAGAGCTTTATTTTCTTCCATTTCTTTGATCATAATGATAATTTTAAATGACATTTAACATCATTTCAGTATAAAAATCAAAACAAGAAAACGAATTTGTTCTTTTAAAAGGTTTATTCAGACAATAAAAGCTTTAACTATTGACTTATAGGACTGAATAATTAATCAGTTAATGAAGTTTTATTGAGAGCACCTTGCTATGCTTAATATTGAGTTGATTAGAGATAATGATATAATCCATACTATGAAGAAATTTATTATCTCATTGAGTAAACAGTAATATTACACATATATGCTCTGTGTCCTATATACTGTATATATATCATATGCTTTATATATGCAGTATACTTGTGTATATATTAATACTGTACATATATACCATATATACTCTATTATATAACATACTTTCCATAATAAACTAGTATATACACATTATGTTTTTCATGTTTATATAAATATATGTTACATATATGTGTATATAATTAGTCAACTGTATCATAAACTTCATGCCTTGGATTATATCATATTTCCTTAATCAGTTCAGTACTGAGCATAGTCAAGTGTGTGTGTGTATATATATTTAGTATATTATATATAGTGTGTGTATATATCACCACCAGTTTACAAAGCATGACTTTTTTGATTATTTAATGAAGTGGAAATTGAAATGAAGTGACTAGGAGTGGATCAAGCCAAGAGGAAACATTGTGAAGGAAATGAAATGGGTAGGCAGTTCAAAAGTGGGCAAAGGACTTGAACAGACATTTCCCCAAAGAAGATACACAAATGGCCGGCAAGAGCCTGCTACGATGCTCAATATCACTAATCATGAAGGAACTGCAAATCAAAACTACAGTGAGATACCAGTTCATACTCATGAGTATGGCAGAAAAACAGAAAATATGGGGAAGCTGTTATTGGAGCCATTGTGCACTGTTGGTAGGAGTGTAAAATGGTACAGATGCTCTGAAAAACAATTTGGCAGCTTCTCAGAATAACTGAAAATAGAATTACTGTAGGATCCAGTGGTCCCACTTTTGCATATATAACCAGTAAAATTAAAAACAGGATCTTGAAGAAATACTTATATGCTCGTGTTCATAGCAGCATTATTCACCGTGGCTAAAATGAAGGCAACCTAAATGTCTGTTGATGGATGAATGGAAAGCAAAATATGGTCTATTAGTTAGCCTTGAAAAGGAAGGAAATTCTGACATGACATGTGCTGTAACATGGATGAACATTATACTGACATGGTGGACATTATACTGAGTGAAATAAACCAGTCACAAACAAACGAACACTATATTAGTCCACTTTTGTGAGGGACTTGGATAAAGCCAGACTGTAGAGACAGAAAGTAAAATGTTGGTTCCCAGGGGCTGGCGAGAAAGGGAATGTGGAGGTACTATTTAATGGGTGTAGAGTTTCGCATTTTCAAGATGAGAAGAGTTCTTGAGGTGGACCGTGGTGGTGGCTGCACACCAGTGTGCAAAAACTTAATACCACTGAACTGTGCACTTGAAAATGGTTAAGATGAATTATAGGTGTATTTTACCATCATAAAAATAACTGAAAACAATGTAGTGGGTAGGGGCCTGCATAGATGTGTATTTTATTAATTTGGTTTTTTTTATATGTCTTAAGTTTTTATAACATCTTAGTATTAACTTTTATTATTTTAAAAATACAGGTTTTTTAATTGAAATATAGTTGGTACACAATATTATATTGGTTTCAGATGTACAACATGGTGACTCTAATTATATACATTATGAAATATTCACCACAATAAGTGTATTCTTTGTTACCATACCAAGATATTACAATATTATTAGTCATATTCTCCGTGTTGTTTAACTTATAAGTATTTTGTAATCAGGAATGTAGGATACGCCATTGAAACATCATTTGCTATATCCGTTCCCCTTCCATTAGACTTACATTGTGTTTGTTATATTTCTAATGAAGATTACTATTCCAAATATTCAGTCAACTCTAGAACTTTCTCAGCAGTTTGAATGATGAATTTGTCCTAATGGCATGAAAACCTCATTGTCCCTTTTCTCTATCCTGTTATCTTTGAGTCATAGAAACAATTATTTATTTTTTTCAAGTGTTACAGTGTTTATTTAAATATTGCAGATGTAGATTGATACGTGACATCCACTAATGTTGAGTGTAGTTAATATTTTCAGTAAAATAATCATCATTTGTTTATTTTTCTAATACCAGTTGTCTGTGATTGTCTCTTTTTCTTTTCAGGCAGAAGAAATGCATGAGTAAATTATTAGAATACAGTGCTGATGTCAACATTTGTAATAATGAAGGCCTTACAGCAGTAAGTACTAAGAATTTTATTTGAGTTTTAAAATCCTTTTTAGAAAATAACGTTGAAGAGAGAATGCAGTCCAAGTGTTTCTGCAAGTTACTTCTTGGCAGTTAAGAAGTTCTTTTTGTAGATACCGTGGGGTTTTCTGTGTAGACAATCATGTCATCTGCAAATAGAGATTGTTTTATCATTTCCTTTCCAATCTGTATGTCTTTTATTTCTGTTTTTTTGCCTCTTGCAGCTTTAAATTTTTAAAAGTTTTCTAAGTACTTGTTATTAATGCATTATCAAAACTTTCCCTGAGCTTTGTAAATATTCTCATAATATGTACTCAGTACCTTTCATCTTCGTGATTAATTTTGAAGGGATCTCGTATGGAGACAACATTCTTTCTAAGCTGGATTGGTTGGTTTCTATGTCTGCTTTATAGCTGTTGTTTGGAATGTCTCTCACAGCCTTCTGGATTATCCTTTTGCCTTTCTCTTGTTTTGGGTTCTTTGTTATGTAAGTTCCGTGTCTGTCTTTCCTGATAACTATTCTGTCACTTTGCTGGAGCACATATTCCAGTTTTTAACTGAGAAAGGGTACATGGCAGGTAAATTGGCTGATACTTTTCATAACAGAATGTTATTTGAGTCTTTGACTCTAATTATGATACTGACATTTTAGTTCACAGTAAAATTCTAGGCTGTACATCATTTTCCCTTAGAATTGTTAAATCATTGCTTTGTTGTCTCCTAGCTTTCAGTTTTGAGGTTGGTGCAATTTTGATTCTTGGTTCTTTTTATGAATCCTCTCTCTAGAAACTTTTAGAATCTACTTTGTCCTTATAGTTCTAAATTTTTAAGGTTATATGTCTTGGTTTGGATTAATTTTACCCACTTGGCTGGGTAATAACTGAGGCTTTGTTAGCCTGGAGGTTCATGTAATATGAACCCATGAGAAATTTTCATATATTATTTCTTTGATGATTTCACTCTGTTTTCCATGTTCTCTCTTATTTTTGAATTCCAGCGATTTGAACATTGGACTTCTTGGGCTAGTCTTTTAATTTTATTACCTTTTCTCTGTTTTTCCATTTCTTTGTCTTTTTCTGCATTTGGGGAGCTTTCTTCAGTATTATCTTCTAAATCCTCTTTTGAGTTTGCATTGTCTCCATCATACTATTTCTAAGAGGTTTTTTTTGCATGTTTTTATTGGTTTGTTTTGCATTGTCCCTTTAAAAATAATGTCCTGTTCTTGTTTCAAGGATGCAGTCAGTATGTTGCCTCTGAGAGTATTAAATACAGTTTTTTCTTCTGAAGTTTTTCTTAAATATTCATGGTTCCTGTCTCTTTTTGTGCTCTTTTTGTCTTATATGTATGTATTTTTTGGCTTTGCACAAACTATTTTATTGGATATCTTTGCCTGTAGAAACTTTCTTACATTTAGGAGATAAGCGTCTCAGACATACGTTAGGAAGCCTGAAAGGGACAGGATTGGGTCACAGATTCAAACTTCCACCAGTGCCCTTCATGCTTTTCTCATCAGTGGCTAAGCCAAAACTGCCCTTCACATCTCAAGTCTCAGCTGCTCAGGGAAGACCAGTTCTTCATTACTTATAGGATGAAATCTAATGGAATTTATAACAGCCAGCCAATTGGTAAGGGGAGGTATGACAGTGACAGTCCCTCACTTCTTGGCTGACAAATACAGTTTCCAGATGTAGGGCAGCGAGGTGGATGGGGCTGTCCAGATCGGCCAGGGTCAGGGGCCGCCTCCAGGCGCACTGCAGCATCTCCAGGTCTGTGGCCTGCCTGTAGGGGTCCAAGCTCCTGTGCGGACACCCACTTCCTCACCTCAGGTGGCCCGACTGGTAATGCTGAACGTGGGTGGAGCTGTGCACCTTAGGTAGCCAGAGATGGGCTCCTTGTGGCCTTCTTCTATGTGAAGGAACAATGGAAGGTCAAAGTTTTCAGGCACAGTGCACCTTGGTGTCCTGCAAGACATCCTTTCCCTGTCCTGAACTGCTTCTACCTGATCCAGAAGAGGGGAAAGCTCAAGCAACCTGTCATGGAAGGACCTAGAAGTCCCTTGTTTTATATTTGTCTTTCAAATTAGATGCACTTGTCAAATGTTTGGTGGACAGGAAGAAGCTATACGACCACTGTCTGATCGGGTGAGGCGCATTCATCGCGGGCCTTCGTGTCCGGCGATGTGCTGGGCGTCTGCCTTTAGGGTCCTTCCTCGTGACAGCTGCTTCAGGCGTTTACTCTCGAGCTGCTCAGATGCCCAGAAAGCTCGTGCGACTGCCAGGTGGATGGTGGCATTCTGGTTTCAGGGCAGAGGATAATGCTTTGGGATTTCGATATTCAGCGTTAACCTTGCATTTCTTCTCCCTTTTTCAGGGTGATATTCTTGTTTCAGTGTGTCTGGTGTTTCTTATCTTAGGGACATTTTTGCTCAGGCCTCTTGTGTTCCGTCAGATTGGGGAGGGGCAGTTCCTGGCCTCACAGAGTTGGGGAGGGATGGGGATTTAAGGGTCTAAATCTTACTAAACAAACTTTCAGCCGATCTGCTTTTGGCTCCGCGTCCACCCCTACATCAAGAGGCGCAGGTGCTTCCTGCTGATTCTCGAGCCGTCCGGGAGCCCTGGGACCTGAATCGCCTTCCCTGTTGGTTTTCTCTAATGTCGGTATGAGGTTCAGTTCTTTGTTCTGACAAGTCAGACAAAAGCTTCCCGCTTCCAAAATGTCTTGATCTTGTAGTCTCTCCTTTTTGTTATCTTAATGGATCTGCCCTTAAAGAAAAAAAATGCTCTTTACTGTCATTTCAGTGGTGTCTGGGGAGGCTGATGCATGTATTGAAGTTGTAATTTTAAAACAGAAGTTTCATGATATGCTTTTTAATGGAAAAAAGTCCAAAAAATGCATGGATAGCATAGTCAAAAGTTTTAACATTGATTATCTTTGAGTGGTAGACTTATAGGTATTTTATGTATTTTTTATCCTCCATATATATTTTATTATTTAGGATGATAAATTCATTACTTAGAAAATAAAGAAAGTAAAGGATATGATACCTACTGTATTACTTTTTAACTTACGTTTGCTTCTTGGGAAGGAAAAACATCCAGTACCTTTTCTCTAGGGACAGACTATGCTTAGAGTCTAGGGTCATCTAAGAAGCAGATATTTGGTGATCTGAACTCTAGGATATTTAACTACTTTCAACCACGAAGTGCTTCGTTTTGAAATGCGTGGTGGTGTACCTACATCTCGCTGTGTCTTTTTTCCACACATAAAAATACAGGAAAAATGTATGAGGGCCTAAATTTAAATTTAAATTTTAATCTTTAGTGTGTGTGCCATGCTCACAGTTGAGAAATAGTACCATTATTTATCTGCTGTTATTATATGAAACACTCTTGCACAAATGTTAAGTAACTGAATGGCTGCACAGATACACTGGCTGGCTGTGAATGGGCGGACAGAACTTCTCCATGACCTCGTACAACACGTCAGTGACGTCGATGTGGAGGATGCGATGGGGCAGACAGCGCTGCATGTGGCCTGCCAGAATGGTCACAAGACGGTAAATTCCCCCGTGAGGACTCTAAGTTGCATGTGTTTATTTTTGAAAACTTTGAATTCATGAAACATTTTCACTGTATGTAATTGAGAGTATGAAGCATCGTAGTGAAATATAACATTATTTGCATCATATAGACTCCTGATTAATATATTCTATGTGGATAAAAGGAATATAAAATAATGCTATTAAATCTGTTTAAAATATTTGTGATTTGGATTTCATTTTTATTTTTGATTCATAGGTTTTTGATACATGAGTATACTAGAATTTTAAGTGTATATTCATATGTAATTTTAAGTTATGTTTATTCTGTTCTCAGTTAAGTGAATGGCTCATTTTTTATTTTTTACCATTAAGCTTCATTTATTGGTACTAGTGAAAAACGTGAGCACTGACATCACTCTCATACTTCCACTTTGATTATCCTATTTTCCTACTGTTGTGGGATATGGTACAAGTACTCTAGTGTGACAGCGGTTTTCTTTCTTACTTCAGTTTTCTATAATGGTTCATTTGGTTTATGGCAATATTTTCCAGTTATTCCTGTGTGCAAACATTTGGCTTTTAAAATTACTAATAGTTTTCTCTCTTATGAGGAGAATTTTCTGCCTTGTATAAAGATTGTTAGCTTAAGATTTTAGATTGAATTACCGCTTTGCTGTAAGTTCCTATTCTGGTTTCTTTTTTTTCACATTTAACATTGTCAGTAATAGAATTTTATTTATTTACTTGCTAATCATAGCAATAACAATAAAAACCAACCAAAACCAAAAATTCAGTGACTGTAAAAACATAGAAGTTTGTTTAATTGTTTTGTATGTATTCTCTCTGAGTCTTTTTGTATATATTCTCTCTTTGGGAGAATTCCTAGTGGAATCTGGATTTCCATCTCTGCAAACACTTTTTTCCTAACCTGGGTTCAGGATGTATAATTCTTCATGTTTAGATGCTTTCTTAATTCTTAATTTATAGACTATTATACTTCTTAAAGATAGTGAGCCCAAAGTTGACACTGTCTGATGTTTAATAAGAGTTGGATGAAAGACCCTCCTTTTATGCAACTCTTATTATAGTAGTATTTTTCTTCCCTGGTCTGAATACCAATGTTCATTTTAATTTTTTTTTTTCTCTTTTATCATCTGAAAACTAACCCAGTTGTTCAAGGAGTGTTCCTTCTCATTAGTTTTTACTTTCTCAGAGTCAACACTATTAGGTTTAAAAAGTACTCCATGTGAAAATAAAAATGATCTGAAATGTCCTAATTTTGAATGGCCTAGGTTTTTAAGCAACCTTTTGCATATTAGAGAATGAGTCCTGCTGGTAGCCCCTGTAGGACAGAAAAGCACCTACTTTAAGATAAACGCTCTCTGCTGTAACAGATGAGCGGAATGTCATTCACGAAGATTGCAGACCCTACCTGGTGCCCAGGGACTTGTACAGGTAAACACTGGAATTCAGATTAGAAATGGTCTACAGAAGCTAATTTTAGTTGCCTCGAGCCAGTGAAGAAGCAAGAATTACTAAGAAAACCTTGGTTTAAAACATGTGCATCACAGGCTGCCTTGAAATTTAGAATTGCCTTCTGAAGTTATTGGAGGTAGTTAGTGTAATATGCTCCATATGGTTTACAACCTAAAGCAGGTGTGGTAAAGAAAGAGAAGCCCTCATGGTTAAATGCCTTTGAAGAATTGTATTAGAAGATTTATAGAGGCACTGACTTCACTTGGGCGAAGAGTTTTCCAGAGTGAGGTCTTGCAGATACAGTAGAGGGGGGGGGGGAGCACAAAAGGCTGTGTGGGTTTGTGGTTGATCGGATTGGTGAGTGGGATTCCATTCTGTCACAGTTGGTCAGTTACAGGTATCGACCAGAATATGTTTAGCGCCGATCTTTCTGAGTCATTATATGCATTTTTAAACCTTCAGTTAGGGCATGAAGGAATCTTAAAAATTAGTCTCTTCTAGGCTCCAGACTGAATTACGCCTCTACCAGTCTGTGCGGAGAGGTGTGCGGGTATTATCTGCATCTCATGACAGGGTGTGTTTTCTGGGACATGCTCAAATCTAGTGGGTGGGCACGTCCTTTTACCTTGAGCTGGGCTGTGAGTGGTGATAGGTGATTATAGGGTAGGGATTGTTGGTTTCTTTTTAACCTTTGGTGTGTCTTGCTGTAAATTAAACACTGTAAATTGAGTCCAAAATACTTTGTTAGGTGTCCTAGTGACTTAGGTTGGTGGCAAGTGAAAATTGCCTTTCCATTGCCTCAGATTAGCCAGTTCTTGAATAAACTCATTAAAACTGTGTCTGTGCAGACATATACCAGTGCAGATAGGTTTCAAGTTTTATTTTTAAGCTTAAAAGCTTGCAGATTGATTATATGTTTTATAGAATAGAATGTAAAACCTTAAAGGGGGAAAGAAAGTCTATTTTAAGATAGTTTTAAAAAGATAACAGCTTTTTTCAAATTAAAGAGGCAGATATGATAAAGAAATCCTCTGAAATTTACCTTCTCATCTCATTCTAGGGTAAATCTCAGGAGTGGTGCATGGGAAGATTTTGAGCACCTGGCTCAAGAGTGCTAAAGCTTTGTAGAATTTATGATTGAATACTATATTCTTTGAGGACAGGAAATGCTTGTCATTGACATTACTTTTCTAGAGATACAAGATTTGGAAGGAAGATTCATCTTTGCCATCATTTCATATAGATGCATCTGTTTAGTCAGAGGTAAACCAAGATAAAGGTCTTATCCTCTTGTTGGAAGGAAGTGGTTTTGGCAGTTGAACAGTGCATTCTGACCATTTTTGCCCTTGCAACATAGCAGCATTATGATTTTAACCTACTTCTATTCTTGTTTGAAAATGATGGGATGGAAGGAATGACCACAACAACTTAATTTTTTGTAACTTTCCTTAGGTCAGCTATTACTGCCTGTACAATATCAATTATGGTTTGTCTTTTGATATTATTGATTGAAAAATACTAGAGTTTGCTTATTCAGCTGGCTTATATAATGTTTGGCAACTTTTTCTTCCCCTGCTTTTTTATCTCCCTCCTAAGGTATATTCTGTGTAGTGATTATATAATTAAGGAAAGTGTTGGTAACACTTTGGAAGATACTTCAGAGCAGTAATAGTATTGGTACTATTACTGAAATTATTAGCATGGATGATGTGATTCTGCAGGAAAAGTACAGAGAGTACTATTAGGATCCTTATTCATTTACTCCTGTGCAATAAGCCACACCCAATGTGTTTGTTTTTTAATTTCATTTGTAAAAAGTATGGTAAAACCTAATATGCTACCTAGGTGTAATTGACTCCAATTTCTTTTTTTTGGCTGTAAGTTGAACTTACTTTTTGGTAAATTTTTCTTTGTCGCTGGTTCTTTTTAAGATTTATTAATGTGTTGAATTGCCACAAATGGTGGATTACATTTTCCTGGAATACCATGGATTTAGAAACTAGAGAACTGTCAAATTGTTGAATCTCAGTTTATGTAATAGTACACAGCAGGATTAGTTTGTAGACTAATTTCAATTCACTTAAAAGAGACATTTTATTTTTATCAGAATAAACTTTATATTGCTGAATTTTTATAGATGAAGTTTCACAAACAATGTAAAATGATAGTTGAACCCTGCTTTGAGTAGATTTAAGGTCCTGAAACTTTACAACAGTTATCACTGGTATTATAGACCACCTTTCTTAGAACAGACTGCATGTTTTACTGATATTGTAGGCTTGTTACAGAACGGGGCTTAACTCACTGTGTACGGTCAACTCTCTTGATATCTTTTGCCAGCTTCCAAGCTTTCCATCCTGAGAATTACAGGCCAGCCATGCAAATTTAATTGAAAGCTTGCAAAAATATTTGTTGCATTCAGTCTTGAGGCACAAAAGTAGATAGGTTACATTTCGGATTGTATTTCTAGGTTCAGAGTAATTTTGTTTATTGTAATGTTAGAATTCTCTTTTAATCATTTCTGGGAAATGTGAGCAAATAATAGAAAGTTCTCCCGTTACTGTGATTTTTCTAACGAAACTGGACAATACTGATTTTTGCTAGCTATTGCATGAGAGTTCAAAGCCTCAATAGGTGACAGGTTAAAGTGGACGGGTTTCCTGAGAAGACCTATATAAAACGGTCACTAATCAGTGAGTTGGCCATTTTTCTTAGTGCATAAGTTATTTGTGCATTGCTGTTGAGTCATGTCATCAATTATTTTTTATTGAAAGATAAAAATATTTTTGTTGGTGTTTTGTCTTTTAGCAAATGGGAATACCACAACTCAGATTTTTACTTGTAGTTTTAATATTGAGTATCTTTCCCTTCTACTTTGGTCAGTATTGTTCAGAAGGTTGACATGACAGAGTAGAGCTGCCTTGGAATTCTTGCTTCATAATTTATTGGTGTATCGGGCACAGGTGGTCCTGGTTAGGCACTGCCTCCAATTAAATGACTTTTGAGATTGACCCAAACATTAACTATGCACATTAGTTTTCCATTCAGGATATTGTTTTATCACTTGAAAGGTCATGAAGTCTGTTGAAAATGTGGTGTTTCTTCTTAAGGATTTCTTGAGGGCCGTGTGAGAAGCCCCTCTCACTGCCTTTCTTCCAAGGCTCCATCCCAGCAGTTTCTTACTGTGTAAGGAGGGAGACCGCCATTGTAGATTATCTAGGAATTGGATAATTGCTTTTCTCTTTTTTAAGTGGGTCAGGGTTGGACAAGGGAATTTGAAGTTCTGGATTATTTAAAAAGCATATTTTGGTGATCTGAATTAGGCATATAAATTTCAGTTCAGTGTAGTTCTTAAAATTATGTATGTTGTATTAACTTGAAAAATGTAGGTAATCAGCCATTATTCATAGATGCTTATATTGGTGCACCATTACATGTTTGTACTTGCTTAATTGTAAGCTATTAAGTTTAATTTTTGCAAGTAAACAAGAAGCCATAAAGTGAAGCAGAAGAATTTATGACCGCTATAAATAACAATTATATATTTTTTGGATTTCGTGGCTTATAGTTTGTTAAACACTGTAAAGTTTTCCCAGAAATACTTGTGTGTAGGGGTTTAGGGGTGAGAAATGTGCCAAACCAAATTGAATCCAAATCTGTCCTAGAGAATCCTGGCAGTTTTTCTGGTCAGTGCGAATCACCATGTAGCTACTACGTATATTCTTATGTCTTTTGTCTTGGTCAATTGACAAAAATTGAAATTTTTGTTGAAGAGATGGAATGGACCAGTCAAATGCAGTACCACTTTGACCAGCTTTTTCTGCCACACTTTGAATTTCTGAATGTGTGTCGTGTTTTTCTTTTACACCCTTGAAGGGGAGTGTACTTTTTCTTCCAGATTCTCCTTTATTGAAGTATTGTTGAAATACATTATTACATTAGTTTCATGTGTGCAGTGTAGTGATTTGACAGTTACATTATGAGATGCCCACTCTGCTAAGTGTAGTTACCGTTTGTTATCATACAAAGTTAACAATATGATTCACTATATTCCCTGTATCCCTGTGACTTAGTTATTTCATATTTGGAAATTTGTACCTCTTTATCCCCTTTACGTATTTTGCTCATCCCCCCCGCCCCCACTCCTCCCCTATGGCAACCACCAGTTTATTCTCTGTATTTATGAGTCTATTTCTGGTTTGTTTATTGGTTTTGTTTTTAGATTCCACATGTCAGGGAAGTCATATGGTGTTTTTCCTTCTCTGTCTGACTTACTTCACTTAGCATAATACCCTCTTGGTCCATCTATGATATCAGAAATGGCAAAATTTCACTTTTTTATTGCTGAGAATAATATTCCATTGTGTGTGTATATGTATATACACACGTACACACCACATCTTCTTTATCCAGTCATCTGTCAATGGATTCTTAGGTAGCTTCCATATCTTGGCTACTGTAAATGGAGTGTATATTATAATGGTATTGATTCTTAAAAAGGTCTTATCTGATTTATTTTTATCTATTGTTGAAAATTCCTGCTTTTTACAGTCCATAGGGATTTTAGTAGTTGAACTCAGAATTTATTCTCTTTAATTATGTTTTGCCTTATGTGTCTATACAATTTAAAATCTTCTGGTAGTATTGTTTCTTCAATAACTTTTACGTATTTATTTTAATAAATACTCTCCTCCACCTAATTTTTACTAGTTTCAAAGTTATTTTACCCTTTATGTACATGTAAATAATTCAATTTTCAGAAAAAACCTGTGATTTAGGGTATCTCACTTCTTGCTCCTTCTCTGTTATGCCAATTAATCGATCATTGAATTCTGCATTATTGTTTCTCCTCCTGTTTTAAAGCTTTTACAAAAAGAATCTGCAAACTTCTCCGAAGTGGGGAATTTCTCCATGTCTCTTGTGTCCTGTCTCCAGTATTCTGGATTCTGCATCTTCTGTGTATCTCCTTGTTTTGGAGGAGGAGAGGCTCCAGTAGCTTCTCCAGAAAGGGTGCACTGGTGTAGTTTTTTTTTCAAAATATTACATAGCTGAGCATATTTCTTATTTAAAACCATATAATTGAATGATAATGTGGTTGGCTAGCTATTCGGAATCATTTAACTTAGAATTTTGAAGGCATTTCACCGTTTTAGATTCGAGTATTGCTGTTGAGAAAATTAATGCCCACTGACCTCTGTTTCTCTCCGGAATGTTGTATCTCCAGGAATATGAAACTCGACTTTGATAGGACTTGTTCCCAGTGTTGTATTAGACCTGGGCGCTCGGCGAGCCTTATGCATCTGGCAGGGCATGTCCTTCAGTTTTGGGAAACTTTTTGGTGTTGTTTTTTGATTACTTTCTTTTGGTCTCCATCTTGCTTCATTTTCTTTATTGTTGATTTCTACAGCATGTCTCCCTGAATCAATCTACTCATTTTCTTGTTTTTCCTGTTTGGTCTGTTTTACTTTCTTACAGAGTTTTTCAATATCTTTCCAAACATCTGTCGAGTTTTTTATTTCTTCCATCATGTTTTAACTTCTTATTCTCTGAATATTCTCCTGCCAGCCTCTTGTTCTTGTCTCATGGATGTAATGTCTTTCCTCTGAAGGTATCAGTTACTTTTCTAATTCTTACTGTTGTTTCCTCTGGTTCCCTTTTTTATCTTCACTTTTCTGACTTCCTTTCACTGTTCATTTTAACCTCTGTATTTCGGGTTGGGTGCCTGCGTCAGCCTCCTACACGCCGTCCGCCTGTCCTGCGCAGCGGCGAGGCCCTGAAACGCTGGCTGGGAGCGGGTGTACACGGGCCGAGTCTGTCGTTCGGCCTGACGACGCGCCACGGTTTCTCCATATCAGCACTAGGGGCATTTGGGGCTCGAAAATGCTTGGTGGCAGGGGCGTCTGCGTGTCATGGGATGTTTAGACCTGTCCCCTGGCCTCCGCCCACTAGTTTCCAGCCCCATCATCCCTTCCTCAGTCATTGGAAAAAAAAAAAAATCTCCCCGCATTGCTGAATGCCCCCTGGGAACCGCGGAGCTCTCCCGCAGCAGCGCAGTAGTGCCGGGGGCTGTGGGCGCCCCTCTGGGGCCGGTCCCCTGAGAGGGGGCTTCACTGTCCTTCTGCTTGAGGCTGCGAGCTGGGCCGCTGGGTGCCCGGGAGCCCCGCCGAGCACGGGGCGCGAGGTCGCCGCCCCTGGTTGATGTCAGCGCTGCCCCGCATCCCTGCTCTTGTGTATTGCCTGCTGGCCGGTCCCGAGCCTCCCTCTTCCCTCTGTCCAGAGAATAAACCGGAGACGGTACAGGGAGAGAGAGTGGCCACTATCCGGCTGTTTCTTTCAGAGGCTGCCAACTTGTACCCCGGTTCTTAGCCCTGGGTACTTGCCGTTCCGGGTCTGTGTGGTCTGCGGCGAGGCCCGGGCTGGCTGTCACTGAGTCCCCGTTTGCAGGCACTTGGACCTCACCTCGTTTCACCTGCTGAGCCGGTTCTAGTCTATTTGGTGGCGGTTTTCCCAGAATTTACTTAGCATGCTGTTGGATTCTTCCCAGTTCTTCCTCATGGGCTTACAGGCTTACTGTTTAATAGAGATTGTAGTATGTTTTCGAGCAACAATGATGATTGAACATGTGTGCATTCCAGAAATAATGTTAAAAGTCTAATTCCCAAAACTTTTTAAAGTTTTTACATGTTTTCTTCCTTTCTACAGGAGAACTCAAGTGAGGTCCATAGGCATAAAACCAGAAAAGATGATCTTTTTAAAGGTTTGCAGGCAAGCCTCACCCTATCTAGTTATCAGACATGTACTTTCAGGGTTCTGCATTAGCTAACTTTCCCTTACAGGGTCAGACGATTGCAGAAACGGAGCGTGGGAGACACAGTACGTGTGAATGACTAGCAGAGAAAATGAGTCAGTATTGGCTACCGCTCATAGCAAAACGACTTCTTAGTTTTTTAATACTTTTAAAAATAAATACATTCTTTGATCTTGAAAAAGTTATAGCTCTGGTATCTTTTCAGAGGCAAAAAGTTCTGGTTTTTAAATTCAAATATCTAGAGCAACACTGTCCAGTTTGCTAATTACATCTGGCTATTTAAACTTAATTATAATAAAAGCAAAATAAAAAATTCCGTTCCTTTGTATTAGCCACATTCTGAGTCCTTGGAGAGTACATGTGTCGGCGACTTTCTAGAGCCTTCCTAGCTTCACACGCTTTTTATTGTACTGATCATTCCCCATATCGGGAAGTGCCTGAGAGACCCAGAGAGCTCCCCAAAGAGTGGGCTTGTTTAGCCATCGTAATTTTCACATTCCTACTCATTCTTCTTTAAAGCTTCAAGTACTTGCAAGAACTTTTCTTGTGTGAATTAAATTGTGGTAATTGTGTGTTTGTTTGACATCTTTGGCTTTACCTTTAATTGTTTCTTTTGCCCCCAGACAGTGCAGTGCTTGCTGGACAGTGGTGCTGATATTAACAGGCCAAATGTATCAGGAGCCACTCCACTGTACTTCGCTTGCAGGTATGATACTTCATATTTCCAGATGCTACCGTTACAGAATGTGGTATATCTATTGTATTTCCAAACACAAACATGTCTGATATTTCTGAAGTGCTTGTTTTCCCACAAATACTGCTACTTTTTAAGATGAAGTATATAGCATTATGGTTCTGTTATTTGACTGCATGAGGAAAATTATTTTCTATCATACTGCCAGTGCTTTTATATTTTATAGGTGAGAACTTTTGATTTACTTGATTATTTAAATTTTAGACTGATTACTTAATAAGTAATAACAAACACATATCAATAATCCAGTAATTTCCGTAGTTTTCTTTCTTTAACCAGGTCACTTCCAATGAGATAAGCTTTTAAATTATGTTTTGGCCCAGAGCCGTGGTTTTGCTTTCTCTGGATTTATAACCTTTAGAAAAATTCGTGAATCACTCATGCTAGATATTAAGTTATGCATTATTTTTAGATTTCTGTCTTGATTCATTTTCTTGAAGTATATGTTTTGTTCATTGATTCCTTCATGTAATAAACATTTACTTAGCACTTACTATATGCTGTACATTATTTATACAGTAGTGATACAGTAATAAACAAACCTCAGTCCTCAAGAAGCCAACAATGTAATAATTATATACATATACCTTTCTGTCACACCATATATAAACATACATGCACACACACAACACTCAAACACACATCTGGTACGTTACCTAAGTGTAGTCTGCAGTTGGAGCAGTTCACAATACACTAGTGAGTATTCTCTTTGATTTAGATTTTATGAATTGCAATATTTAAGTTCTTAAGTTCGGATATATAGCTCTGTAGAAAGCTCATCTTTTATCCTTTCTATTATATATTATTTTATTGGAGGTTTGTGTTAGACTGAAAGACCTGCTTTTCCTCTTATTTAGCTACTCTTTTGGGTCTCTGCTGTTACTTTGTTCAGACTTACTCCAGTCGTCATGGAACAACCTTCTATCAGACTATAGGGACTCTAGATCTCTAGACTTCTTGATCCTGTGTGAATCTAGCCACTTTCTTACATTATACTTATGATTCTGTTTCTTGGTTGGAAAACCAGTTCTTCCCATAGTGTCCTGGATTTATGAATAATATCATTCTTTGAGTCCCTGAAATCATACCCTACCTTGAGGGGATTATCTCTAGATAAGGCCTTTTCTTTGAAGCTTCAGATTTGAATGGCCACCTGCCTGCTTTACGTCATCACTTGCAAGTCTCAGAATCTCAGTTGTCATTATGTCTAAAAATTAGCTTCTGATTTTTCTTTTCAAACCTTCCCTTCAGTTTTTCTCATCTCAGTGATTAAAACCCTTATCCTTCTGGTGGTTTAAACCTATATCAGTATTTTCTATTTCTCTCTCTCTCGACTTGGAATTTATTAGTAAGTTCTGTAAATTCTACCTTCGCAGTATGTTCTGAGTCTCATAACTTCTGCCCAGTTGACTGGGCAGTTACGTTGCCAGGTCTTGCCCATGGTCCTTAGAGGCCTCCTCACTGGTCTTCCGGATTCCTCGTATTTCTCTCTCATCTGTTCTTTCGTCAGCAGCCAAACCAATGTTTAAAAAAAAAAAAAAAAGTGAATCAGCTTGTGTCACTTTGTGTTTAAGCTTTGTATTTTCAAACCTTTCAGTGCCTCTTTGTTGCATTCAGGTAAAATCCGAGCGCCCCCTACGGCTGTGAGCCCGGCGTGGTCTGACCACCGCCTCGCTCAGTGTGCTTCTGCCATGTTGGGTCTCTGGGTTCCCCAAGCACAGCCGACTCTAGCAGGCTCTCTGTGTGCTCTTCGTGTGGCTTGAAGGGCTGTTCCCAGGCATTTTATGAGGCTACTCCTTCATGTCACTGCTTAACGCTTACTTTTTTTTTTTTACTTTTTAGGAAGGCAATTCCTGACCCATCTAAGTAGGTTCTCCCCAGATTTCCTATCACAGTATCATATTTCCTTCATAGCACTTTGTATTTTGTAATTGTTTATGTACTTGTTTATATTGTGTCTCTCCTACTAGACTGAAAGTTAATGAAAGCAAGAATTTTATTTTATTCACTGCTTTGTATTCAATGTGTAGCACAGTGCTTTGTGCTTACATGCTTAGTAAATGTTTTTGAATGAATGAATCACTGTAATTACATGTTTAAAAAGAATCTTATGTAAAACAATGCCATGTATAATAGTAAAATATAGGTATATCAGTATTTATAAAATTGGTATGTTTGTTCATCTAGTTAGTCTGAACATAGGAATATTGTAAAATAATTTTTTTACAAGTACTTACTGCTATTATTATATTCCCATAATTAAGTTTTAACATAGCAAACATTAGATCTCTTTGAACAAAGATGGTTAAGCAAATCTGATTAAAATTGAAAAAAGAAAATAAACATATTTTAGCAGGATGATCATTATGGAGCATGGTATATTTCTAGGCAAACAAATTTTAATTGTTTTCTTGATATCTAGATATAGGTATACATTAAAAATACAAGTTATTCCCACCATATTATCTCTGATAAATGAAAGGGAAAGGAATGTGGAGAAATAGAACAAGTTGTCCCTGCAAACATTATAGGGCTCTAAGATGAAAAGCTGAACTTAATGTTAGTTTTTTTTGAGTGAAAAGTATTACTAGATATATTATCATGTGCCTTATTCAAGGATCAACTATAATAACTTAAAAAAATTTGTTTTGAATTAACTTAAAAAAGTAGTAAGATGTGTAGGAGAAAAAACCTGGGTTTTGGAGGCAGCGTTCAGTTCTTGGCCCCAAAGCCATGCAACTGTTCAGTCAGGTTTCTTGACCTCTGCTTCGTTTCTTTGTGAAGTGGAAATGCTGATACTTACTGTGGGACAGTGGAAGTTCTGTGGCCAGGATCCTATCTGACCCTAAACTACTTGAAGGTGTAACTGGCCTGCTGCTAGGCTAATGCATCTACACCAGTAGGCAATGAGCTGTTATTGATTGAGTCACTATATAAACTGGGTGGAGGCAGAGATGAGGGAGGCTTACAGCCCTGCAGGCTGCTGGATGCTGACGGGATTCTAGTGCTCGGCCTCCCGCCATGAGAGGAAAGCCAGCGTAGACCCTTTCACCCAGGAACATTCTGTTGTCATTTCTCAGTCTCACTGAATCCATAGTGAACTTGCTCAGGGTTGAAGCAGGACACCTCAGGCAAGACACCTGCCCTGTGGGGCTGTAGTAAGAATCGAATGAGTCCTTTTGTGTGTGTCCTGCAGAGTGTTTTCATTTAGTGGCTGGTAAGCGCACACTAAGTTCTACCACTTTTCCACTACCCAGTAAGCACACGGCTGCATTGTCACCATTCAGTTTCATTTCTGTACAGGGTGTTCTTTCTAAGAACAGTGATTTTTCTCCTACCACACAGACCCTTTCATTGTTCCTTTGTATTGCTTCTGTTCTAATTCTGAGCGGTACTGAAGAATGTAGTGCTTCTGTGAATAGATCATTTTCAGACTGATTTTGACCTGAAAGTATAACAGGAACTATTACCCAGGTACTTTGCTTGCCTGGGTATTTTGCACAAGATGTTGCAATTCATTTTCTTCTATGTGTACTGTAGACACACCTTTGTACTCCTCTTCCCCATCTTTAGACACTTTTGTCTTCAGGATTTTATGTGTTATCTACAGATGCTTCGAGTCCATAGATTACTAGAATAGTTCAATATTACGTCATAATGCTTCCCATTCCCTTAGCTGGGTTCTTCAAATAAAGGTCTAGATGTATAATGATTTTCAAGTATTTTCTATCTGCAGATAACTTTTGTTGTATTAGGAAAAGCAGGGTTTAACTGGGGTCATGTAGACACAGTGAATTAGGTGAGATTTTAGCGGTCTGTAAGAGAGTGAGAAAGAGTAAGATTCTGTTTAGCTGCTGCTAAGCAACTCAAAATTAAAGTAGCCACGTAAAACAATCACAGATGCCAAACTGTAAACTTTTAGAATGTGAAGGACCATTAGAAAATATGGTCTCTTTCATAAACAATTCCAAAAAATATTGTAGTATATATACTCAATGTACTTTAGCCAAGTTTTCAAATCCTATTGCTGAAAAAACCTAAAGTTAGGAGACTGAAAGTATTTGAGAAATAATTTCTAAGTGTTTACAAAACACTATAGATCTCTTATTAGTTAAATCTTCGCCAGCTTTTTAGTTTCCAGAAGATATATTGGCATTTCCTTGAAGGGAGTATTAGCTCAATGTAAAAAATAGTAAGTTCATTGGAAATAATGAATAATTATCCATTGAGGAGAATTATGCAGTTATTTGAACTGAAAAGTCTTTCACGCGACACCCTGAGGAGTCTGCTGTGGAATACTCCTAGGCTCTCGCAGTAACTGCAGGGAGGCACTCGCGGCACTGAGCAGTTTGCTTAGGTTTTCTGTATTATTAGCTGTTGTTTCTTGCGTTTATTTTTGAAGTGAAATGTCACCTGATTATATATAAGATTTTAATGCAGTTTTAGAACTCCTGCTTTCTGATAGTGTCATAGTGTTATTTCTTTTTCTTAAAGCGAGTTATCCTTTTTGTTCTGTATGGTACAAAATTAATTATTTTGAGGCTATTTTAAAAAGCACATGTATTGAATGGCGTCCCGTTTGTGCATGGCGATCCTGCCTGTTCATACAGTGCGATTCCCGTCATGGTGTTCCCCCAGCACATATCCCCTTGCACCTTACACCATCTTCTCCTAAGTTATTCACCCTTGAGGGTGAACCCTGTATTCATGCATCTTGGTGGAGCAGTATGATATAGCTGAAGGATTTTGGAATCAGACTGTTCTGGATTCAAATTCTACTCCGTATGTAACTGTTGGTCTTGAGTGACTCCATTACACTTGAGCTACCATTTTCTCATCTGAAAAAATGGGGTGAAAACTTACCTTATGACTGTCAGGATTAAGTCAGACTTTGTACAGAGAGCTGAATAGTATGATTGTCATCTAGTGGATCCTAAATAAATTATGATTTGAATCTCTGTTATTTTCTGTAGTGTAGAATCTTCATGTACTACAGAGTAGCAAAATTAATGCTTGTTCATCAAATGAGTGGTGTCTGAAGATAAAACAATAGAATTCAACAAATATTTTGACTACATGTTATAAGCCAGCTATCATTCCTGGTGCTGTGGAACAAGTGCATTGTCAGGAAGTTTACTTGGAAAGATCAGACACATGGATATTAAATGACTGTAAAAGAGAATGCTATTAAAGTTAAACAGAATAGCTTTGTAAGTCTGGGTTTCTTAGAACTCTGGTACTTGCAAGGACATCAGAGTCTAAATAAATTAAGGTCATTAGTTCTATTTAATTAGCCTCTATTTTTAGGTATTATGAACAGTAGAACAATGTTAATTGTAAAGTAATTACTATTAGCTGTAATACAGGATGTGTTGTCCAGTCCTCCTAGCTTAACAACAAATGATGCTTGATAAAAACTTTCTGCTTTTGGAGAGATGGCTGATTTACTTGATTTTTTGATTTTCTGCTTTTTTTGGAGTAAATTAGGTATTGGTCTTAAGTTAGTTTTGACTTACTGATATTTGTCTTAAAGAAAGTAGTATTACAGTAAAGTATCAACAAAGCAGAATACCTATAGCATCTGTCACCAGATTTATAGTAGGATACTATTTTTAAAAAAATTACCCAATTACAATTGGTTATAAATTATACTTTATGCAATGTTATTTTGTGGAAAAGAATGAGTAAGTTTTTTTTCTTAAGTTTCTGGGAACTCTCCATAGTCTTTCTCCTTGCATAATGTGATACTTTTTCAGGTGATAGTATGTGGAAAGAGTGTTGGTTGAGAGAACCAGAGAGCTGGGTTTTGATTTCACCTGTGCTTGAGTAGGTAGCTTTTCTCATTTATTAAGTAAAATTTTTTGATCAGATAGTCTTCCAAACTCTATGATTTCAGTGGGCATTTCATAAAACTAAGCTTTAGACATTAATGTCCCTGGATTGTAAACCCACTTTTCACTTCCTGTATCTAGGATCAGATTAGCTCGTTGAATAACGAGATGTAGAGTCTAGTGGTTGCTAGCCCCAAAGTAGCTTCTTCCTAGCTGAAAAACATGGCCGTTACTAATTTTACTCCTTCTAGAAAAAGAGCAATTAGAGAGAATGGGGCATATGGATTAGAGAATTGTTCTTTCTGGTCATAGCTGTCTGCAGAAGCCAAACTGCGTGGGTCGGTAACATGAAGGTTGGAAGCTAGATAGTAGTTTTGACTAATTAAGCCCTTCCCTTACTCCTTTCTTTTACTTTGATATGTGTCTTTTCTTCTTCCTTCCTTTTTATTTTTTTTTACCCAGTGTTAGTGACATAAAATGTATTCCTGTTTTGAGTCTTGAGGTTCTTTTGAACTAAGAAGTCCAGAGGCTTGGATGTGTGTGATAGGAACGATGTCAGGCTAGAGTTGAGAAGGAAGCGACTGGAAGAAAAAAAGCATAAGCCTGATTAGCAGCTACTTATCTCAAAATATGACATATTGTAGGTAATGTGTCCCAAGTTCAATTCCACGATTTAACAGGTCAGTTTCTTATGTACATAGTGAAGTACGATTTCCCGTTGGGAGAAGTGTCCCGGATAACTGAGGACGCAGCTCCGATCTTCCTCTGACTTCGAAAATCGCTGACCCTCTGTTGATCTGCATTAACTTCCCGTAATTCATGGAGTAAGACTTTAAATCATGTTATTTTTAACGTAGTTTTCTTCCTGCGCAGTCATGGTCAGAGAGACACGGCACAGATTCTTCTGGTGCGCGGGGCCAAGTATCTGCCGGATGGGAGCGGAGTGACTCCTCTGGACTTGTGTGCACAGGTATGTTGCTGACAGATATTCTTAGCCCCTTACTTTTTTTATTATGGTATCATTAATATGCAGTCACAGGAGCAGCATTGTAGTTACTAGACTCCCCCCGTTATCAAGTCCCCACCACATACCCCATTGCAGTCACTGTCCGTCAGCGTGGTAAGAACTTAGCCCCTTACTTTATAATAGAAACTGACACTGGCAAAAGCACTTTTTTTTCACATGAGGGGTAGGTGCAAAGATTTTTATTCTTTGAGGAATATGGCATTTAAAAGGAACTGTGATATAAGAAATACATATCGGCTTCATCCCAGTTTCTGACACAAGAGCTCCATGACCCTGGGAATATCCTGAGTGATAAGAATGCCCTTTTGCATGTTAAGGAGATGACTGGCAGTGGCTGAAAGCTCCTAGGTGGCTTCCGGGTGGGGGCCGGTTGCCAGCGGAGCCTGCTGCGCGCTTAGTGGGCTCTCCTCCCGCAGCCCTGGGAGAGCGGCCAGGGGTGGAGCTCCGTCCCCAGTGGCCATATTAAATTATTGGTGCCCTGCAGTGGAGCTTCCATTAAGACTCTAGATTGTGGGGTTCTCAGAACGCTTCTGGGTTGGTGAACACATCAGAGTGCTGGGAGAGGGCATGGGAACTGTGCGCCTTCCCACACACCTTACCGTGTGCACACCCTCCGTGTGGCCGATCCTGAGTTGCATCCTTCATAAGAACCAGGGAGTAGTAAGTAAAGTGTCTCCCTGGGTTTTCTGTGCTGTTCTAGCAAATTTTTGAACTCTAGGAGGGGGTCCGGGGAACTCCTGACTTAAAGATGATTAGTCAGAAGTATGGGTGGCCTGGAACTGCGATTGGCTTCTGAAGTGGGGGCACTCTTGTGGGACTGAGTCTCTAACCTGGGGGTTCTGTACTAACTGGGCAGAGTTAGCATCAGAGTGGAATTAAATTGTGGGATACCAAGTTGGTGCCCATGGAGAATTGGAGAATTTCTGGGTATGGTAACCCCACATATTTGGTGTCAGGCTTATGTGTAGAGGAAATGTGTTTTCCTTTAGGAACTTTGTTTTTAAACCTAGATAATTTTTAAATTTTGTTTTTAGGGTGGATATGGAGAGACCTGTGAAGTATTAATTCAGTATCATCCTAGGCTTTTCCAGACAATTATTCAAATGACACAGAATGAAAATCTCAGAGAAAATATGGTAATATCATTGTGCTAGTAGCCTGTTAAATGAACAAGCTTTGCTCATGTTTAATATATATAGTATTTTACAAATGTCTTAATGATTTTATTATTGTAAATATTTTAATTTGAATTTGCTTATACTCACTGTAGGATATCATTATTTAATGAATTATAAAATAATAAATTTGACCCTATTAATCTTCTTTGGGCTTTTGGTCTCTTCTTAAGATAATTGGATTTTTTCCCAGAGGTAGAGGAAAAAACATCTAAGGAGGAGTATCATATCATGACTGGTAATCACTAGTTTATTGAGCTCTGTATTTGTAATGGCTTATACATTTACAGTTATAATACTTTATACATTTTATAAATTATAATTATAATAGCTCTGTATTTATAATTTGAAAAATTGCAGCAAACTTCTCTAAAATTTTAGAAGTTTGGAATTAGATTTCTGTAAATAAACATGGTGATTCCGTTCCATCTATTTATATTTTTTGTTGCTTTTTTACCGGGTGATTTTGTACAAAGATGTTATGTCATCTTATCTCTGCATTAGCTTTTGAATTGATGCAGGGCAGGGTAACTATAAGGGACTTGCTGTGAGCCAATGGGCTTTGGGATACTTACTAAATCAATAGGTTCTTAATTTCTTGATAAGGTTTAATAAATTATTACATAATCACATTTTTTTGTGTGTAAAAAATTTAGTTACGGCAGGTCCTGGAGCATTTGTCTCAGCAGAGTGAGAGCCAGCACTTAAAGATGCTGACGGGCCTCGCTGAAGTTGCCACCACCAATGGTCATAAATTGCTTAGGTAAGTGTTTCCAAATCTAAGCAGATCAATAAGTACTAGTATGTGTCAGCTTTGTCTCCTTTTAGGCTTTTCAGGGAGTTCTTTATTTTTTTGGATGCCTTTTGTCAAGTTATAAGATGTTCGAAAAATTTGCTGACTTACCATTATTTGTTTTGTTTCAAGGGACCAGGGCAATCAGCTGTTACTGAGGACACTAAAGAGACTAAAGACAGAGAGTTAAGTGCATCTGGCCATCATGTGTCTAAAATTTTATAAAATGATTTCTTAGGCTAGTAATGTAAGTGAAATGGACATAAAGAAAAATCAAGAAAGTAGGTGAGGAATCTTGATCACTAAAGATTCATAAAACTGTATAGGCAACAGTTCAACTTCTCGGGAGACCCTCAGCACGCCTTCCCCTCAGTTCCGTTCTCTGTGTGTCCAGGAGATTCTCTGATGAGGTCCGTCTGTAGGTCCACAGGGTTAATGCCTTTGTATTACTTGAATTTATGCATACTGCCTTTTCCTGCACCTGTGCTCTCTGAGTGTAGTTAGCCACCCCAAGTAGGAATAAAGAGCCATTCAGAAATGGTTAATGTGTTATTTCTAAGCTTACAGATTTGGCCCACCTCATGGATCCTTTCCCCTTCGTAGTTTTCCTTTCCTTTCTCCTAATACATTGACAGTCTCAGAGCAGGTGGCGGCTTTCTCTCACCTCTGGCTGCCACAGGACTTCATTCCTCCCAGCTCCACGCTGCTAGCTGGAGAAAGAGTCACAGCTCTTTGCTAACTTGGGCTCCTCAGCACTTAAAATGTTACCTTTCAAATGCTTTATAGGATCTTATATTATGGCCGCTTTTGGACAGTAAATACCTCTGTTGGAACTGGTAGTGAGTGTTGGTTATCAGTATTGTGTTAGAATTTATTGTGTTGTTACTGTTTTGGGAAAATCCAGCCCTCCTCTTGTGTTATACACTAGGACCACATTTCGAATACTTCTGACACCAGACATGTAGATTTTTTTCCCCGTACCAAGCAGTTCTTGAACACCAGCTGAGCGTCTTGCAGTTTAGCTCAGCTCTGATACCGTCTGTACCTGGAGGCAGCATCAGATCTCACAGGTTAAGGGTTCGGTCCCACGAGACTGCCCCACCTTCAGGTGCCAACTGCAAGTACTGGGTCCCCCGGTTACCCACAACTTCTGTTTGACCTCATTACAAATTGGGGTTCTCATAACTCCTTCCCCTTGGATTCAGTTTTTTCCTAGAACAGGTCACAGAACTCAGAGAAACACTTACTTACTTTGTTAGTTATTAAAGAATATGGTGAAGGATACAGATGAACACCCAGATGAAGGGATACACAGAGTAGGTCTTGGAGTGTCTGAAGTTCAGGAGCTTCTGTCCCCGTGGAGTTGAGGTGCATCACCCTTCCAGTATACGGATGTGTTCACCTTCCTGGAAACTCATATTTTTGGCTTTTTGTGGAGGCTTCATTATGTAGGCAGGTCAGTCATTAACTCCATATTCAGTCCCTCTCTTCTCTCTGGAGAATGAGGAGTGGGCTTAAAATTCCAGAGATTTTAATCACGGCTTGGTCTTTTTGGTGACCAGACTCTATTCAGACCACCCACTGAATGACAAAGTCACGTCAGTAGAAAAAGGACACTGCTGTCACCCAGGAAATTGCAAGGGATTTAGGAACTCTGTGTCAGGAACAGGGGTCATAGACCAAATATTAGAACAAAATGCTCCTAGTGTTGTAATCACTTAGGAAGTCACAAGGGTTTAGGAGATCTGTGCCAGGAACTAGGGGCAGAGACCAAAATATATATATATTTTGTAATATTTCAGAGCTACCAGGGTAGATTTTTAAGAGGGTCTCAAAAATTATTACCCCAACCAATTTATCTTTTATTTTACTTTCACAGATTGTCTCCTTTTGTTCAATTACATGTGAATCATTTTGTTTCTTAACCCACAGTGTAATGTAATTAAAAATAATTGATTCAAATACGTAGTGATTCAAATAATTAGTGAAGGTTGAGATGTTATTTAGCACACTTTTGGAAAAATGGATAGCCATTTGTGTAACCGATTCTAGGAATATTTGCTAAAGATAATACATATTTACTGAGGGCCCTTCTGCACATGATGTTGTCTTACTGAGGGTGTTATCTTTCCTTCTTTGTATTTATGATGAAGGTAAAGATAGTTATCAATGTACATATGAACAGAGATATCAACAGCTCTTTGCTCAGTAAGATACTAATTGAAAGTATACTTTTATATAAACCAAAGGTAAGTACATTGATAAGGCTTTGAATTAGGAAACTAATTTTTAAACTTTTATATTGAGACCTGGTAGCTTGGGAAAAAACTATTTTATGATCAACTAGAGAAGGATATGAGGAAGTTTGGATTTTATAATCTTTTTATAGACTATAAAAGAGATATTTCAGTGGCTGAAAAGTGAAAAATAATCATTTTCAGATTAGCAATCAGCTTGGAAGAAGTTTGATTTGGGTAAAGTAACTATTATTAGCCTCTACTAATGGGTGAAGATACTCAGATTCCATTGTGTAAGAAAATATTTCTTATGATAACTCTTCAAGTGTTCCCTACATCAAACACTTACATATTTATATAAACATGGTAGTTTTGCAGAGGAAAATCAAATTCACACCTTTTTCTTAAAAGAATTTGTGTCATTGTACTTAAGAGGTCCAAGAACTGCAACCCAGTGAGAGAAGGAAATAGTTTCAACAAAACTACATTTCTATATTGTCAGTCTCAATAATCTTACGATATGAACTTAGAAACACTTTGTAAAACCAAGATGTAAAATCAGTGCAACCTAACTAATGAGTCTATAGATGTTTGACTCAAAGTTCCTAAAACAGAAAGGTTTTGCTGACATGCCGTAGCTTCTCCAGTCTCACACAGTTATGTTTTACTAACACTTGTAACGGATAGCTGGTTTTTACAGACTATTTTCAACAATTTAATAATTCTTAGAGTGAGAAAACAACATGGATGTCGAAGTGAAAATATCAGGAAATTTTGGCTCACATGTCAGCATAATAGAAAATACTCTGTAAGTTGGCACTTACCAAATTGGAATACTTAGCAGTAGGTATTTTCTATTTCTGCAATAAATTACTATCCTTATCTTTTAGAGTTAAAGGATACCTAAAAATATCATGGAGGAATATATTAATGAACTTGGTAAAATGCACTGAGGGGGAGATAGGGTAAGCTTTGTAGTTAAATTTATATAATCATACCATTCTGTCCAAAAGTTAATGTAGTTCTGCTTCATGCAGCTGTTGTAACACAGCATAACTGATGTTAGCAATTTCAAAATAAAACCACCCACTGAATGACAACAAAATATTTTTACACATCTGTCATAGATTCAGTAAATATTTAGCCTAATTCCTACAGTTTCTCTGTGGAAGAGTAATGGTCGATACTGACGATGGTGAACAACCCCAGACACTATGGTTGAGTGCTAATTTGGAATTGATTCTCTTTTTTTCATAGTGGGGTAAATGCCCTATAGGTGGGCTTATATAATAACCCATTATATGGGGAATCACCTGATGCTGATAGTCACTTAAGGGTCATTTAACTTGTGAATGTTCCGTATAATAAACATGGTAGTTTTGCAGAGGAAAATCAAATTCACACCTTTTTCTTAAAAGAATTTGTGTCATTGTACTTAAGAGGTCCAAGAACTGCAACCCAGTGAGAGAAGGAAATAGTTTCAACAAAACTACATTTCTATATTGTCAGTCTCAATAATCTTACGATATGAACTTAGAAACACTTTGTAAAACCAAGATGTAAAATCAGTGCAACCTAACTAATGAGTCTATAGATGTTTGACTCAAAGTTCCTAAAACAGAAAGGTTTTGCTGACATGCCGTAGCTTCTCCAGTCTCACACAGTTATGTTTTACTAACACTTGTAACGGATAGCTGGTTTTTACAGACTATTTTCAACAATTTAATAATTCTTAGAGTGAGAAAACAACATGGATGTCGAAGTGAAAATATCAGGAAATTTTGGCTCACATGTCAGCATAATAGAAAATACTCTGTAAGTTGGCACTTACCAAATTGGAATACTTAGCAGTAGGTATTTTCTATTTCTGCAATAAATTACTATCCTTATCTTTTAGAGTTAAAGGATACCTAAAAATATCATGGAGGAATATATTAATGAACTTGGTAAAATGCACTGAGGGGGAGATAGGGTAAGCTTTGTAGTTAAATTTATATAATCATACCATTCTGTCCAAAAGTTAATGTAGTTCTGCTTCATGCAGCTGTTGTAACACAGCATAACTGATGTTAGCAATTTCAAAATAAAACCACCCACTGAATGACAACAAAATATTTTTACACATCTGTCATAGATTCAGTAAATATTTAGCCTAATTCCTACAGTTTCTCTGTGGAAGAGTAATGGTCGATACTGACGATGGTGAACAACCCCAGACACTATGGTTGAGTGCTAATTTGGATTTGATTCTCTTTTTTTCATAGTGGGGTAAATGCCCTATAGGTGGGCTTATATAATAACCCATTATATGGGGAATCACCTGATGCTGATAGTCACTTAAGGGTCATTTAACTTGTGAATGTTCCGTATGTGAACAGCTGGTTACTGTGCTGGGGTAGGGAGAGGAAATGGGGTCATGGGTAGAATAGGAGAGAGGTCAGCCACTGCAGCTGAGTTGTGGGTCAGCCTTAAAACATAATCAACATTTCTACCATTGCTCCTCTGTGAACTGTTCTCAGGGTTCTAAAAAATCAGTTTAATTTACAAATATACTTTTGGAAGTGAAAGGTGTAGATTGCCTTGAAGTTGGTGGCGCAAGAAACTGGCTGTTCTACAGTGGTGATTTCCTTCATGCTTTATGCTTTGATCATGGGTTATATTCTGGTGCCTTAAAAATTAGTAGTTCATTCATTTGCAATCCAAATAATGCATATTTGGTAACTTCTTGTTAAACAAAACATTCTGTCCCCTAACCTAATAGGAAAGGAATTTTACTAGTTATGAAACAGATTGTCAATGTGATGAGAATGTTTTAAAGTAAGTATTTTAAGATGTAATTTGTTTCATTCCATGTAATCTCTTTTAATTTTAATTTTCAGCCTGTCTAGTAATTATGATGCTCAAATGAAGAGCCTTTTAAGGATTGTGAGGATATTTTGTCATGTCTTTCGAATTGGTCCATCCTCTCCCAGTAATGGAATCGACATGGGCTACAATGGAAATAAAACTCCAAGAAGCCAGGTGTTCAAGGTCAGGAAAGTATATGACATTATTAGGAAGATTGACATAAAAGAGGTGAATTTGACAAAGCATGCATTCATTAATCAGAAACTTCATATGCAGGACATAAGTTTGGTTCATACGTGTATCACTTTTTAAGTTAGGCACATCTTTCTCCTTTCGCCTCTGTCTAATCAACAGCAAATCTTAAGTGGTGAGCTTTCTATGTATCTTTTACAAGTAAAATTCTAATTCCATTAGTGTTTTATTCTTAGGGTAAAGATATTTAATGGTCAGATCTGATTAGATTTACTTTTTTATTGGATTATAGGTTTTTAATATGGCAATAT